CAACGTGGGCATAGGGGGGGGGCTCTGGATAGAGGTAGTATATTTGATGTCTGGGTGGACGGGCATCATTGATCCTCAAGTCTCTCAGGTGATGGCTTCAAGTTGCCACGCCCCGGTAAACCGTTTCAACCGGCAGGATAAACTCACGTGAGGTGGGTGATGTTCACACGACCCCACTGGGCGAAGATGAATTACAACGGCTACACGTTCGCGACATCGTCTGTGTTCGAACCTGAGAAGGGATGGGCTCCGCCAGGTTAAAACGCCAAAGACACGCCACATGGTGAGCACGCCAAGAAACCTTTCGCAGAGATCCAGGCTCTGGCACACGACGGCGACAGATGGAGGAGAATGGTGGACAGATCACCAAATTATTCTTCCGGGGTTAAGGGCGAAAGAAGATCAACATTCACAAAATTAATGACCAGCGCAACTCCTATATTGTGACTCGATCCTGTGAAGAGAAAAAATCTTGCTAATCAAACTATCAATAATACGAGTTTACTTTTGCCGCCGAAAAATATAAGTCCCATGCAATTTTAAATAATTATCCTTTTTATGTGCGAGCTCAAAATAATCTGTAAAGTAAAAATATTTTAAGACATATTATTATTATGGCATTTTGTCAAGTTTAAAATAGCAAAAAATTAAATTTCTACTACTGTGTTATGTGAGATAATTTTTTTCTTTCCAGAATCTATCATCTCTCTATATATAAAACAGAAGATGTCTGTCTGATACCTTTTCACTCGAGATCTATCAACTTGACACATACATTTTACAATCTAAGTGTTAATTTAAAAAAATCAAAAATCGATAAAGCCGATCAAAAATCGATAAATTCAACTTTTTTCCCCCTATTTCGTTCAAACTCGGTATGTAGGTTACTTACATCATGATGAGCTCAACGATACCTCATTTTTTTTTTATTTCTACGCCACTCCGTTTAGCCAAAAACTGCAAAAAACAAAAAATCGATTTCAAAACAAATCGATTTCAACACAAATTTTGAACTAAAATGTCCCTCAATTTTCAAGCAATCTAAGACAAACTTCACTCAATTATAGCCAACAATAATTTGATTGTTTAACAGTCATTTAACTTGATAATTGAATCCACCCATATAGTGACAACCCGCGTAGATAGCGAAAAATGGCGATTTTTACTGGTTTCTTTCTTATTTTTCGTTGATCTTTCAACCAATTTTCATCAAAGTTAACAATTGCTTTATAAATGCATCCTCTTTTACATCCCTGTTAGCACACTGACAAATTGAATTTCAAAAACTCCCAAATAATTGTGGTCTGAAGTGGGCCTTCGTGTTGCCTATTTTACCCCTTTATCTTCTCAGCTAACTTGACTGAATAAATACAGACTACTTATGTTATATCAGTAACTGCATTAATTCAAAATGTTTTTAATGAAATTACTTTAAAGCAATTGAAAAAGATAGACTCTGTTACATCTAAACATGATGCTGTTTTTGCTCGTTTCTAATTGAACGCTTTTTCTGATCGACCAGCTGGGTATGGCTGCTAGTACATACGTCTACCATTCGTCTATGCTCAGAATATTGCTGCCACATATAGTCCGGTGCTCCTGCGATTTTCTCTTTAGTCTAGTACATATAGTTCACTAAAATACCTCTCGTCATTGTTTTCTTTTATATAAAACTGTAACATCTTTCTCTCCCTCTCCTCACTCTCTCCTCCTCTCTTCCTCCATCTCTCTCTCTCTCTCTCTCACACACAAACATACATATGTGGTTTTGTGTGTGGAGGGTGTACGTGTGTGTGTGTTGTATGATAATAGCTTAAGACGTAAAATTGCTAGTGTGCGTGCACTGTTGATTACTATGTCCACATTTCACGCAAAACTAAAGTTGGCGGATTTCCCGAGTTTGATCGAAGTCTTGGAATAATGACACAGAAGACCAGAATACCTTTAGTAACATATTACTTTTCTAGTTTATTCTAGTACATCGCAAACTAGCGTTTTCCTTTCCCCAATTCAAATACCTGACAGTAGTAAACCAGGGTCTGAACGTCGAACTGCTTGTTCGCAACTATGATGACAGAACAACAGGACTGTCTAGTTTGTTTTTATGTGAAATAAACTTCGACTTACTATTACGAGATGCCCTTCCAATGTCTCTGTTGTATCTGGTTCATGTCTCTTCCCTTCGCGAGTCGACAAAAGGACGGATTCTGTAAAGCGTTGCAGCTTTATAGAATCAGTCCTTTTGTCGACTCACGAATCTAAACCCGTGGTCTTGTCACAAATAATAGATTGATACGATTTGATCATCAGTTTCGGAAATATATAGTCATTAGCTACTTGATTGACTTTTGATAAAATCGTTTTTTTTTTTTTCGAAAACCTATTTATTTCCAACGAATATATATTTATGTAAAAAAAAAAAAAAAAAGAAGCCACACGGCCCATGACTGAGTTATTTTTTTTTTAAAAGTCAATTTCTCTAAAAATTTTCTACCTAAAAAATCATACCAACCCAGTGGACGGGTCTTTATGAAAACAACTTAGTCTCGAGGCCTTTTAGAGACATTTTTATTCCGGTCGAGAAAGTAATTTATTGTCATTATTATTCGACTTGGTGGGTGTAGTAAGTGAGTATAGAGCTTTACACAATTTTACTAAGTTACAAAGTTATCGCTAAGTTAATATCAAGTTCGATTAATTATTTATCCCCCATCCCATCTAATTTCTCGAAACACTTTAATTAGTTCTTTTACACATTTAATTTCAATATTAATGAAACACAACCAAGCCTTTTTTCACGGTTTTCCTCAGTTCTGTACCATAAAAACGGGCCTTTCTGTATTTAATTCTGTCGTCCGCTGTCAAGCCCCAAAAGAGTCGGTTATCATTCATCTTATTACAATCATGTAGACTAGATTATTGACCATTCCATTACGATATGTTTTCGAGATATTTATTAAGTAGGATCACGGTAGGGTGTCCTCAGTGGAAAACAAACTTACTAATGGTGGATTGCTATACAAGCTTGCTAAGCACTTCTCTATGTAATAACATTTAATATGGATAACATTTAAAATGAATACAACATGTTTTTATTTACTAAACTTAGTTTAACAAAAGCTCATAAGCATAGGACACTCAATTAAGATCGAACTCGCGGCATTAGCAACGATTTGTTAGACGCGTGTCATAACTCCCCAGTCTAGGTCAACCAGTCGAAACGATGTTTTAATTTTTTTATGAAAAAGCTTTCGCAACGCCAGCTACACTTCATATTTATTGATTGACTAAGCCAAACGAGATAAAAATAAAAGGAAGTTAAAGTGTTGTGGTGCGACAATCTTTCTCGTGAAGAGGATCTTCTTGCCTTAAAAATCAGCGTTCTTAACCAGGCGATAGGCACTGACAGAAAATGCGAAAGTACCGCAGTTGTGTTAAATTTAAACTCAGGCTATATTTATTCAGGACCAGGACTATCTCAATATCCCAAATTTATTACGACAATATCTCTCCATTTTTACTTATTAAACTCACCTTAGTCTAGCCCAAGGCCACATTAGTGTAACACACCTGAGGATCGAGCACACTAACAAAGTGAATGGGTTTGCAAGACTAGTTTGAAAACAATGTCATCATGATAGTCCACCGACATTAGTTTTTATACTTTATAAACAACAAATACAATCATTTATTATTGAATACTATGATATATAGAAAACGCTTCGAAGCACAATACGTAGGGAGCTGAATTGTCTTCTCTTTCTACTTGCTTCAATTTTTTTATACTAAAATTCACCAAATACAAGATTATGAGGCACTCAAAGGTTACTGAATGAGATATGTAAGAGAAGTAAAGATTACGAGAATAAGGAGGATAAAAGAGGATCGATAACTGAAGCATCCAGAGAAGCATCCACGAATCTTCTACAAATTGTCCGAATGAAACTTCCTCATTACAAATGGATTACGAAGGAAATGAGAGTGATTAGGCACCGTGGACGCAGCATGGCTCATCCTAGCGCTAAAGTTCTGAAATAGTGGAACTTGTTGTGGGATTCAACACTTTTGGTGGGTTGTGGACGTTGTTTAGCAAATGTTTAATGATTCTGGTACATTTGACCTGTAAACAATATTGGCGGATTCACATGAGTCCGGGCAAAAAATAAGTAAAAAGATATGGAATTCAAACAAATGAATATTAACAAATATATTAACAAGACATATTGCAAAAAGGAAAAATGAGAAATGTGAAGAGTTCAAAGCAACCTTCAGTATCTGTAGTTCCGGTACTTACATGCCGACAGGAGAGAGAAGAATAAGTTTTTTTCGTTATCAAAATCATCAAGGAAAGAGAAAGATTCTTTCAAATCTCGTGCTGCGTGTAATTTTCGTCAGGGGGACGGTAATTCGATATCTCGCTGCCCGTGATTATCGTCAGGGCGGTAACCCAACAAACTAAAGAATGGAGCTCATCTGACCATTTGCCATGGAAATAGCAATAGAATAGTGATAGTCTTGTGTTTTTGGGAAGAGAGGTCGCAAAGAGGAAAATAAGTCATCTCCTCACATGACCACGTAAACGGTTTGAGATTTTTGGAAGGGCTTCTTGGTCTGGTAGAAAACTTTTCAGGACATCTCTTCATGGTCTTCCAAATACTACAACCAACACTGTTTACGTCAACCTTTATGCCTTTACACAATAGTCATCAATATCGCCCAACTGCGGCGGCCATGTACTATGTTAAATTTGCTACAATCCTGTTATTTCACATATATCTCTGTCACCAGCCGTTACACAAGACACATTGCAATGACATAATGCCAGGCTATGCTTAATAAATATCGATATATAATTCAACTGCTTGGACTTCTCTGAATTAAGTACATTTTATACATGGTCTGTCATGCATGGGATTCTTTTTTGTGTAACATATGTCTCGTTCTTGGTAGTATTTTATGCAGGAAACTTAAGCCACATTACTCAATCTATGCATTGGCTTACAGCCACATCACGTCCAAACACCGGTCTCCGTACGATCACCGAAGTTAAACAACGTCGAGCCTGGTCAGTACCTAGATGGGTGACCGCTTGGGAATAACAGGTACTGTAAGCGTGGATGTGGGGATGATGTAATGGATAATGGCTCGGAATTGTTAATCGAACAGCCGAGTTTCAATTCCCGTTAGGTTCGTTATATTCACTTACGCACAAATACCCTTGGGGACAGTATGAATCGACCTCTTCTCCCCTAGCTATGGGTTAATTAGTAAGATTTGTTTGATTAAAAACATTAAAAAATTGCGTACCGCATATTTATATTTCGGCATTAACTAACCCACAGTGGTGTCGATATGTCGCTAAACAAAAACAACCAACCAAATCTTTGTATGCATACATACATACATACATTATATATTATACAGCCATTGGCAAAATTATGGGTAAGATGTATAAAAGTTAGAAATATAATTGAAACCCATTTTACTTAAAGAAAAAGAACCAAGCTTTTAAAGTAAATTTAATCTATATTTAATACTTGTTGTGGGGTCCTTTTGCTTTTATAACTGTCTTTATGTGCTTTTGCATATTGGAGACTAGCTTAGAACAAGTAGTTGGCTCGATATTCTCTCTATTTTCTTCTTCATGTAGTCTGACTTTTAATTTATCATATATATCATAGTATTCAAGAATATTTGTGTACCCTCACTCTTGTACTTAATCATCATCACAGATGTTCAATGGGATTCAGGTCAGGAGATTGAGGAAGCCACTTCATTACCCTCACTTCTTTCTTTTCAAACCAACCATAAATGCCAGTGAAACATCAATTCAAAAATGCTTATTATAGTGCTTTCACCTAATATATGTACGAGTTTCAATCATATTTCTAACTTTTATACACCTGCCTCATATTTTGTCCGTGGGTGTGTGTGTGTGTGTATATATATATGAGAGAGAGAGAGAGAGAGAGAGAAAGAGATACTCAGGGAAAATAAATTTCTGATACCCTGAAAAAGGATGCAGATTTTCGCCTGGGTACATAATGCAGTTGTAGACATTTTCATAGAATTTTCAAAATTTTCGATCATCATGTGAAGACTCACGTGTCATTACATTTTATTCAACTCTTAATTTTGTCAATCATTGTCGATCAGTTTTTGAAAGCTGCCTGGAATCCCTCATCCCAAACGTGTACCTTACATTATCGCCTGCGATGTCCGAGACAGACACACTGCCTTCTTATTGCTGGGGAGGGTGTTTGTCATGCGGTTCATTCTCATATATATATATATATATATATATATATATATATATGGGCAGGTGTCCAATTGGCTAGAACGTTCGCTTTCTGACCATAAGACCTGGATTCGAATCTCACCAGGTTGATTTGTCAGGAAGGTGACATCTTGATGTTATCGGTCGAGGCGATACCAGCGTGTGGCACCTCTGGAAATTGCCTGAAAACCATACCACGGGCTGACCCAAGCCTTGTGAGTGAAATTAAGTAAACGAGACACTTTGGGAGCCGTCGATAGTTGTGCTAGCACGAAGTCACAAGTCATCGAGACCGAGGGTTTGTTCAATCTGTTGATCACTCTAGATAATGCGCCCTCTCCCAGAAACTGTAACAAAGGTCGGCTCAGCATAGTTGCAGTATAAATCACAGATGGGGTCTGTGGGTGTGGAACAAACAAATTTGCCTTAGCGGGCGTCTGCAATGGAGATTAGCTAACCGCCCTAACAGACTGGCATCCTTGGACACGAGTGGCCAGCCATTATATATATATATATATATATATATATATATATATATATATATATATATATATGTGTGTGTGTGTGTGGACTGAAGTCAAAACTAAGACTAAAGAGTCTGTCTGTTTCATGTTTGAACGCAATCTTCAGGTCATGAAGAGTGTGTTCAAGCATGAAACAGACTGTCACCGCTTCGTTTTGTCCTCAGTGTCTACTTTTATATTTACATACGCTCTATCTCTAATATTGAACATTTTTATCCATGAATATAACATACATTAAATTTATATTTTTGTCATAACCTTTGATATGTGTGAATAATCAACTTAGCCTTGCTTAGCTCGGTTTATAACTCCTAATTGCTCTCTAAAACGTAGCAATGTGTAGGCCGTGTTGCGAGTGTATCGGACGACCACTGGCTATTGAGTATCACAACGTGGACGCCCACGCCTCGCGATAATAAACGAAATTGTGATCCACAAAAAATACGATGGAGCGATAATGTGGACACATTCAAAATGATCAAGACCAAAAAAAATTTAAAAAAAAAAAAAAAAAACAATTCGTGAGGAAAGCCGGCGCAAAACATTAGGACACAATTGTGGGACATCTAGTAAGGTTCGTACTTACTCCACAATGTAAACGGAACCTTCTCTTTATAGCTATTTGCCTCTCTCTCTCTCTCTCTCTCACACCAAATGTTTTGGGTCACCCTTTGGATTTCGAAGATTCGCCTAAAAATAAAGGTTCCGTGTTTTTTCGAACCTAAGTCTCTAACCCATTTCGGACCAAAGGCACTAACTCTTCCTGAAGAGTCTTATCAGATACCCAAATAATAATAAGGAAATTATCCATTACTGCATAAGGTTTCTCTAAAATTTTAACTCATTTTGTCTAATCTATTTTGCTGGCTAATGACAATCTTAGCGTTGGTGAATTTTAAATTTTATATAAGCCTTTGGGCTAAGCTTGCCACTAGAAAAGTCGGTTCACTGTGTCGTGCTAGACAATCTTTCTCGTCAGAATCCATCTTACACATTTATAAGTCTACTATTCGACCATGAGTCTGAAAACGGAGTATGGAACTGCAAACATCTGAAGAAGGGCGCTAAGATTAGCGTCTATAGAGCCGTCGTACTTACCACCCTGCTGTACGGCTCTGAGTTGTGGCTAACCTACCGCTACCACCTATGACCCTATGAGCGCTGTCTCCGTACCATCCTCAACATTCACTGGAGTGACTACGTCACCAACGTTGAGGTCCTCGAACAAGTGGAAATCACCAGCAATAAAGCCATGTTGCTGAAGTCAAAGCTACGCTGGGCAGGTCACGTCTCCAGAATGCCTGCCTAAGATAGCCCTATACGGCCTTCTCTCCCTTGGCCACCGTGACAGAGGGGTACCAAGGCAGCGTTATAAGGCCTCTTTCAAGAAGTTCCACGGTACCTGCCACATCGACCATCGCCAGTGATCGACACTTGCTGCTGACCGTCAAGCCTAGCACCGCATTGTCCATGAGACCTCCTGCACCTTTGAGGAACTCTCGCAGGCCAACCTGAAGGAGAAACGCCACGGGAGGAAGGACCGGGAAGCCTCAGCAGCTATACCAAACTAGACTTTTAGTTGCAGTCGCTGCGTCCTGAATTGCCTGTCCCGTATCGGCCTGGTCGGCCATCAGCATGCTTGCAGTCGGTGTGGACATCCCACTTCATAAATCTCACCGAACTTATTCAACATATACAGTGAGGCGATTCAGACAGATTTAGCAGTCCTACCAGCATTCATTATTCTTAGCAACAGATGATACAATATTGCTGGCATAAAACCCTCAATTTTTTAATTTCTCAATCCCTCACGCAAATAGTTGATTTTCCCACACGTTTCCCCAACAACCTGGACGGCAAGGCCTCCCTTTTCGGTCTCCGTTTCACTTCCATCCCTGAGTCCTGTCCCGCCACGCAGCTCTGCCCTCTTGGCAACTCTGATCATGCTGTAGTATCTGTCAACCTCTCCTTCTACACCACCCCCAGCAAAGAATCTCCAACAGAACATCGTTCTGTCATCACCTAGCAGACTGGGACTCGTTCCGGAATTTCCTTCGCGATGTCTCTTGGGATGTGACCTTTACACTCCCCGTTCAAGAATGCGCTTCCGAGGTCCCCTCCTGGATAAAAGCTGGAATCGAGGCTTTTTATCACAGCAAGGAAATATAAGGTCAAATCGCACTCATCCCCTTGGTTTTCTGCTGCTTGTTCAGCTGCCATTGCCCATAGAAATCACTTCTTCCACCTATATCGTAGTGACATGTCTGATTGCAACAGACGTCTCGTTGTCTCAGCCCCTAACGAGTGAAAGCGTGTCCTCAGTGAAGTAAAGTCACTATTTGCTGATAGAATGAAACACCATATTGCATCTCGCAAATTCGGCTCCAAGGATTATTGGCGTCTCTGCAAGAGTGTACTTAATAACAGCAAACCCAAAATACCTCTTTTGTTCAACCAATTTGAGGTCCTGACCTCCTCAACTGATAATTCTCTTCCAACTCAACGCTCAACCCAGTATTTAATATTCCACCCACGAAGAATATATGTGGCACAAGGCCGAGTTTAAAGTGGGTTTCTCCGAGATCGTAGGCTCAGCCAAAAATATCCCCTTTGAACCCGTTCAGGGCCTGTCTACCTCCCCAGACGAAACTTTTCCCTTCGGCAAAGCTTCGTCCGGGTTCCTCTCTGACAAAGAAGAGAGTTCGACCGACGTCGAACACAATCAGAGACTGTATCTCGACGTATCTCAACTCAACACTGAACTCATCCGGTGTACCCACACTCGATTTCCCTCTAGAACTGAGGCTCTATTTAGGGAGTTGCACATAACCCCGTCGTCGGTGTTGGGCATCATCTCTAAATTAGACTCCCATAAAGCTAGCAGTGGAAACGGGATATCGGCCATTGTCCTGAAGAACTGGCCCCTTCCCTCTCCATATTATATAACTACTGCCTCAATGAATCTTGTTTTCCAGCCTGTTGGAAGTCTTCATCTATTGTTCTTATCTTTAAAAACTCTGGAGACCCTTCTGACTCATCTAACTTCCGTCCTATCAGTCTCCTACCACTCTTCAGCAAAGTCTTTGAGGCTTTAATCAACGCCGAAGTGGTTAAGCATCTTATATCCCATCATCTGCTCTCTGACAAGCAATATGGTTCCCGCTTTGCCCGTTCTACAGTGGATGTGCTCAAGGCTATAACTGAAATTGTTTACCAAGCAATTCACAATAACGGAGAAGCCGTGCCGTTGCACCCTTTCCACTGTTGATCCCACCCTTTCACTGTCGAAACAGTTAAATGTAGCCGTTTCTCTGTGTATCTAGTGTTGTTAAGGTTATATCTCTAAAGCGTTTGATAGGGTTTGGCATGCCGGTCTCCTTCGTAAGCTTCAGGGTTACAGAATTTCAGGTCGATTATTTAACGCAATACGATCATTCCTGTCAAACCGTTTAATGAAGGTCGTCCTTAACGGATTCTCCTCTAGTTCCTATCTCACGAATGCAGGTGTTCTCCAAGTCTCTATCCTAAGCCCTACTCTGTTCCTTATCTTCATTAACGATCTTTCCAATGTCATCAGTTCCCAAGTTGGCATCTATGCAGACGACACTACTATTTACTCCTGCCTCAAAAACAAATGTAGTCTCAATGACAAAATTAACCTGGCCGTTTGTCTCTAAAAGGACCTCCAATCGGTTGTGGACTGGGGAAGAAATTGGCTGGTGAACTTTAATGCCGCGAAAACAAAATTGCTCTCTATTGCACACCACAGGTAACCATCCCTGCCTCCCATTAGAATGTCTGATGCACAACTCCACGAGAGCACCTCTTTGCGACTGCTTCGTCTCACACTGTCCGCTGACCCGTGATGGAACAAATACATTGAGTCAACAACTTCATTCACCGCAAGGAAATTTGGTTCCCTGTGTCGCGCCAGAAAGTTTTTCTCGCCCGAGTTCATCCTTCAAATCTATAAATCAATCATTCGCCCTTGCATTGAATACTGCTGAATATATGGTCTGGTACCCCCACTGTTCGTCTTAAGATCCTCGACAAAATCCAGAGACGGATATGCAGTGTAATTGGCTCTGATCTGGCATCTCGTCTACAGTCACTCTCTCACAGACGTGTCGTCGCCTCCCTCTGTCTTTTCTACAAATACTGACGAGCTACTTTCGCTAGTTCCCAGACTGCGTGAATTTAAACGTGCAGTACTAGGCTGGCATCTCGATCCCACCCTTGTTCTGTCGAAACAGTTAAATGTAGCCGTCTCTCTGCGTATCTTATGTTGTTAAGGTTATGGCCGCTAATGTTGAATCCCGGTAGAATTTCCAATTCTCTCAGAATTGCCTCGCTGCATAGGTTAAATAGGTCTGGTAAGGTCCTTGCCTTACACCCCTTTCTATTTTTGTATATTTCCTGTGCTCATTCTCTATGCGCATACATGCTGTTTGCTGCCAGGATATGTTCTTGAAATACTCATTGTATAATCTATATTTAGTTAGATCAATGAGCTGGCTACATGGTCGACACAACGATAGTCCGTACGCAGATGCGTATAGTTTTGTTCCTTCTTAAATATTATTGTTTTTAGTTTGTTTGTTTTTTCGTAAATCTTAACGGATATTTAAATGATACGTTTTCAAGAATTCTGCTATTTTAATTGATGTACAAATCAACTCTTTGATTCAAATGCTCTGTATTTTTCTTGTATACATTTTAGGGGTAAGCATCTCACAGACAAAATTACTTGGGATTATTTGCTAACTAGTTTAATCAAACACAAGGCCACAAATTTTGAGCACTCCGCAGGGTCGAACTGATTTCAGCAGTGAACTGACTTGCAAAACAAGCTTCCTCACAGTCGCGATACGGTAGGCGTCCAACTAAAATTACTTAAGTCTACAAAAGAAACAAAAATAGGATGGGTATTTAAGTAAACGAAAGAAACCCAACAACAAATAAATAAATAAATAAATAAATAAATAAAAGAAAACTTTTCACGCAGGTCGCAGCAACCTGTGGTTTTCCATCGGTTGGAGTGTCATTGAAATTCACAGTAGAATAGAATTCAAAATAAATCGACACGGCTTTTTCATCTTCGCCGAACAAGTCTAAGTTTTTTTTTCTATTTGTATTTATTATCAGTTGGATCAATCTACTGCTAGATCTTTTGTGTTAAAATATATAACTTGTCTGACAACTTTGTATTCTCGAGAAAAACATAATAACTGCTAAAATTGGTGTGAATAGTATTTAAAAGAAAATGCAAGGATAAAAAAAAAAATAAACTATCCTATCAAATTCACGAGCAATAATACATTTTCGTTTTGAGTAAGCCTTGTCTATTGCAAATAAACTATCTTGGCAAATATATATTTTTCTATCAAAGAAATTGATAATAAAAGGAATGAAGGTAAAAAACAAACAAACAAATAAAAAGAAACATGATTTTATCGGTAATTAAATTTATTTTAAAAATAGAGACGTAGTTGGGTAATATTTCGATTTTTATTCGAAACATGTTCAGGATATTTCCTTATAAATAATGATATTTCCTTATAAATATATATATATAGATAAGATTTATATATCATATATAGATATATATATATATATATATATATATATATATAGATATATATATATAGATATATATATATATATATATATATATATATATATATATATATATATATATATATATATATATATATATATATATATATATATATATATATATATATATATATATATATATATATATATATATATATATATATATATATATATATATATATATAGAGAGAGAGAGAGAGAGAGAGAGATGGAAGGAAGCAAGCACGGTGGAGTAATGGATAGCGGCTCGTATTGAGGAATCGGAGAGCCGAGTTCGAATTCAGTCGAATCCATTACAGTCACTTATGCACTAATACCCTTGGGAGAGGTAGGAATCCTCTTTTTCCCCAGCTATGTAAATAGGAGGATAGGCTTGGATGGCAACTGATCTAGGAGAATTCAAAACCTGCGGAGGGTCATTTGAGGACCTTGTGGTGCATCAGGTTTCTGCATTCGACTCTCCAAAAAGTGTGGTTCGTTCTTTATACAAAGCCTTTACCACTATAATCAAATCATATGTACAGGTGTCGTTGCTTGACCCTCATATGTTGAATACAACGGGAGAGTCCAGTGCCGGATAAATAGCAGTTACACAATTCAACTAGAAATATATAGTTAAATTGATTTTTTACGGCTTTTCAACCTTTTTCGGGTTATTTAAAGCCAGAAAATATTTTTTCATTGCAAGAATATTTTGGAGGTAATAATAATTTACTGATACAAGTCCTATAAATTAACCCGTACCTGAGGGGAGAAGAGGTAGATTCATACCTTTCTCAAGGGTATTTGTGCGCTAGTGACTATAACAAACCCGACTGGAATTGGAACTCGGCTCTCCAAATTCCAATTTCGAGCTGCTATCACTTACACCATCCGCACATTCCAAGCTTACAGTACCTGATATTCCCAAGCGGTTACCCATCTAGGTACTTACCAAGCTCGACGTTGCTTAACGTCTGTGGTCGGATGAGAACCAGTGTTGGGCGTGTTATGGCCGTAAGTTAAAATATCTACCACCTTAATGCTGTAAATATGAAATAATCTAATTATAGAGAAATTCGGGGATTTGCTTCCTGTATCAGACGTGTATGCTTATTACGCTAGAGAAGGAACTTTAGAGATTCAGAAAAGTTCTAGAAGTCGATTTCCACTTTAAAAAGCCAAAAGGATGACACTGTTTTCTTTGTTTAAAACTCATATAAAAGTAATTAAACAAATAAGGACAAATATTTTTGCACTCGCCTATTAGGTTTTATCGCAAATATGATCTGTTCACTACAAAGTATAACGTTTTCAGAGTAACAAAATACACTCTGGCGCCATTTCTCTTTTGGCGTCCCCAGCACGCAATTAATAGTTAACCCAGACCCGTGTCCGCACAGATATGGTGGTTTTCTAAGCGTAGCTTAGATGTGACACAAGGCCGAAAGTATGGGGTATCCAGTGAGAATCGAATTCACTATTCAGATGTAATTGATCTAACGAGACAAGCTTGTTAACCATCACATCACGCGAAATGCCCCTGCTCCGACAGGTACGAAGTTAAGTATACAGGCAGCACGTTTTAATTCTGATTTGATATTCATTAAATATTAATTAATAAGTTAAAATTCATTTAATTAAGAATTATTGAGGCGTTTTATTTTTTGTTATTATTTTATGAACAAGACAATCACACAATGTCCCGTACTCCAGAACATACATTTTTAAGTAGAGTGTATTATTGGTCAGCTTGAAGGGGCAAAGAGTCAGCATTAAATAGCATCGGAATTCAGAATTGTTCTTTTAACTATTAACTGCATGTTCATACAATTTACTATTGAAGAACAGGAAAACACTGTCTTTTCTGTTAGATCTAGGTCATCAAAATGTCTTTGTGCGACGAGACAGGAATTTATTTTAAATCCAGTTGCAAGACTTCACGTGTGACAGAATATATCCAAATCAGTCGAAAAATAACAGAACGTTATCTGCATTGCATGGTTTATTATAACAGAGCAATCAGAAAAAAAAGCCATTGTTGAAATCATTCAACACTCTGTAATAGAGAAAACAACGGACAATCGAAATGATAGAACAGACCATTAGATATATTTTCATTTTTTTTTTTCAGTTCGGTTCTCATTTACTCAGTGTTTGAACTACAGAATATTGGGGTCAGGAGATTGCCAAGTTAATTTTTTTGTTGTTTCAGCCTACTATCAAATATGGAGGGTTTTAGGCTGTGATGCGTGAAGCAATTTTGCACTCTGGTTGTTCAGACCGTCTGTAGAGTGTGGGAAATAAAAAGAAAACCAGTTTGCATAAACGCGTCCCCTCAATATTTACTGACAGTTATTTTGAACAAAAAACATCTTAATGGGGGTGGAACTACAGGCCATTCAGTTAAAAAAAAATACTTGAAAACGCCAAGATGTATGCGTGGGGTAATGATCAGCGTCTGAGAACGAAATATTCCAGTCGACATTCACAAAAATACCTGGGAAAGAACTCATCTCTTCTCCCCAACCTTCAGCTACGGGTTAAAAAGTAGGGTAAACTAGATTCTTCAGCTTTGGTTGGTAACCAATCTACGAGAAGAATAATTCTGAATCCAAAGGCGATTGATACGCCTTCATACTGTGATAAGCATACCTATTAGGAAACTCGCAATAATAAATCTTAGTGTAGTCCCAGTCTTTAGCATCACTCCTTAGATAGCTTCTGAACTTTTCAACCCACCATCGTAAAATTTCCCCTTCAAAATGCTCCACAAATTTTAAAGTTAACTGTCAATGTCAGGCGAACAATGTGAGTTTGTTTGAAACCTATATTATTTAGATACTTTTTTAGTTTTCTTTACCGAATGCAATGGAGCATTGTCTTGTATAAAATTCATCTTTTTTAACTCGTTAAGCTTCTTGAACCATAATTTCACATAACTTTTTAAAAAAATAAATAGAACGAAAAACAATGTAAGTCTATCAGTGTATATTCCATCATCGCCGATCAAGCACCGAACTACCGCCAGTTACGATGAATAGATGTCTCCTGGGAGGAGCACCGTGCGTTTAGAGACTATTGGAATTTGAACTTACATCTGTCCTCAATGAAACTCGTACATACGAACCATCGCTAAAGATGCCGATAAAATGGTCGACTCCCTGTACCGATCAAGTAAGTACCTGATTTTACGTACTATACTCTACCTTTACAAGAGCCAGATCAGGTCAAAAATGGAGTACTGTTGTCATATTTGGGCGGGAGATGCCCAAACTACACTCTCCAGATTTGATAGAGTTCAAAAGCGTCTCTGAGTCCTTGTAGGTGACGAATTATTTTCCACTCTTCAACCAGTCTCTCACAGGCCTCTCGCTGCTCTACCGTTACTTTCACGGAAAGTGCTCAGACGAACTACATTCCTTGGTTCCGCCAGGCCTAACCTTCACGGCAAGGACCCCCCCATGCCACTTACATAGTAGCAAACTACCCACATTACTTCCGTATTCCATCGGTGAGCAGTAAGTTCCACTCGAACAGCTTTTTCCGACGAACCACTGCTCTGTGGAACCGACTCCCAAGAGGATGTTTCCCCGATCGCCACAATCTTAACCTGTTCAAGTCTAGGGTTAACCGTTATCTTCCCATCCTATCCGTACTAACTGCCTCCTAACGTAACCCTCTACCTCGAGTGTCCTCCGGGCCTTGTATAGGATGAACCTAACTGTAACCCCCCCCCAAAAAAAAACAATCTCCCGTCAAAACATCACAGTACCCCCACCTTGTGGATGTGATAGCTGTTTCCTGTAAGGGTGTTTTCAGCCAATAGCCACTCAATTTTTCTCTGTCCGTCTGGTTCACTGTGGGTAGTACGGTATTTATCGGTGAAAAGAAGGACAGAAAAATTGACATTCATATATTCTGTTACCTATTTCATCCGATTTCCTTTGTGTATGTCTTTTCAATGAGGTTTGGTGAATCAATTTCGTATTTTGCAACTTGATTTCAGTTCGGCAACTTCTGGTACTTTTTTGACCGCACTGACACAATGCCTTAAAATTTCAAAAACGGATTTTTTTAGATAATTTCTGTTTTGATACGAGATCGACGAGATAAAGTCTTCAATTTGCCCTTCAGTATCGGTCGTTCAGGATCTTCATCGAACTTTTTCACAGGTCGTACCTGCCGATCATTTTTGCAATTTCCAGTGTTGTTTTAATTTTTCTGCAAGTGCTACAGTTATTAAACATTTCACTTTATCCATCAAATCAATCATACGATCTAAGAGGGAACTCGGTCGAAACATCGTGTCTCTATAATAACACCTAATCAATCAAGATGAGAACAGTTAAAAAATATTCGAGTAATCCGTAATCTTTATTGAGAACAAACAGCCTGTATTCGGATAGAAAGCAAGTTGAGCAAGTACACAAAATAGAAACAGGTGTAAGACAAGGATGTATTTACTCGTCGGATTTATTTAACCTTCGCCTTCGGGTTTTTTTTAACTTTATTTTAACCTTGGCCTTCGGATTTATTTAACCTTATTTTAACCTTGGCCTTTGAGTTCTCTTCGGATCGTTTCGCTAAATAACGAAACGATCCGAAGAGATCGTATCAAAACAGAAATTATTTAAAAAATCCATTTTTCAGGTGACATTATATTGATAGCAGACTCAGAAAAAAACAATTGAAGTCGCATTTTAACAAGGTAGTGAAAGAAAGAAAGCTGAAAGGGCAACTACTAACTGTAAGAAGACAGAATACATGATTGCCACCAACATAATCTTTCCAAGATTTGAGATACGTATTGGAGACATCAAAATCAAATAGGTGCAGAAATTCAACTATTATTAAATAGTGTAATAACAGACGACATGATACAGAATTCAAAGGAATAGCGAAAATGGCTAAAGAGCAAAGTATATTATTTCTTCTTCTTGCTATGGGCTGGGAGAAAAAAATTGGCTCCCCAAATCCCTTTCTGAAAAGGTTTATCCTAGTCGGGCAGGGATCAAGAATCAGTTTCAAGGGAGATGACTCCTTCCTTCACTCCGTTTTCTGCTGCTTTTGATTTATTTACTATCATGATTTTTTTTTCTTAAAGTGGTTTTATTAAAACAGCACCTGTAGTTAGCAGACCATTCGCCTTTTGGTAAGTTTTTCTTTTCACTTCAGTCGGGTTAACCACTTGGAGAGGGGGCAGTGAACCCAGTTTACTCACCGACAAAAATTATATCCCTATGCTACGGCTGTTACTGGAAACTCCTCCATATGTGACAGTATGAAAATGACTCAGCTTTTGTTTTAGCAGCAACGTTCACGATTGGCTCCGATATTTAAATTGTATTTTATATTTCGGAGCGGATTTGATTTTGTGAGTCAGATTCGATGCTCGGAGCGACTGCGCAGATACCGTCTTTTTTCTCCCCCCTCCCCACTTTTTTTTTTTTTTTTTTTTTTTTTTAATTTTGCTTTAGTAACATTCACATCTGGCCGATAAGTTTTGATGTGGAGTGAATCGGGAAGAGATACGAATATTCAATTCAACACTATTAATCAGATTTTTTAGGTATATATTCCATCAGTTTATTATGTGTTTAACGTTGAACTTCATCTTGCTTACGATGAATTTGTGCTGAGTATCTGCTGTTTTAGCAAAATGTCGTTCTTCAGAAAGTCTACTTTTTCCGCACAGAAACAAACATTTATTCCACATTATTTTGTTTTCCAATTTGTGATTATATCATTTGTATTGGAATGTGTGTATCATCGCAGATCACGTAGAACTCAAACCGAATAGGTAAGGAAGCACGTGACCTCACTCCTGTGTCTGGTTTTGCAGGCGTGGGGAAGTTTTATAATACACGAGATTATACGAGATTAAGTCAAAAGTTATCTGAACTTTCTCCATAGCATATCTTCAGGTTTGTCACATTGCCATCTGCTCATGCGTACTTAGAGTTGATACGATTGTGATCGAAGTTTTAGATTGATCGCAGCAGTTTTCTTGCTGCTATT